TCAAACGACTAACTTGAACACTTTGTTTTAGGTATATCTGCACCGGCGCCCCCCCCCCCCCTGCCTTGTTTTTTGTTATAATCATGGATCATTGCTCAATTGTACATATTATTATTGATGATAATGACATCTTAGTTCATTGAAATTTCGAAATGCGTATTAACCAATTCAATATTTAATTAGGTTATTTAAAGCTGCTATCATGTTTTTATTTGTTCCGAAATTATTGCCTTTAATAATTTCCAATGTCAATTTACCACCATGATAAAAATAAAAAATGAATTGTCAGTTCATAAAAATTTACTTCAACAAATACTTAATATTGATAGTCTAAGTTCTAATGCATATTTAATAACTTTAAGTTCAAAATCATCACGTTTTTTCATCAATATCTTCATCATTCAATAAAACCATATCGGAGATCGAAAACGAACTAATTTTCGAAGAATGAGTGAACGTAGAGAAGCTTATAAGAAAGCTGATTGATTGAGCTATTATCTTTTTTTGTTTTGAATTTTCTTCCTATCGGCAATCATTAAACGACGTTTAATTGTTTATCATCAGTTTGATTCACTCTCTGAATCACACTATGACATTTTTTAATATCACAAAGATTACTTAAATAATAATAAGATAAACGAATAACATTAGCCTTTTTTCTGGTGCATCTAAAAAACCTGTCATTCATAGTTTCCCTAACATGTACAATCTGTTATATCTATTTTAATACTATGCATTATTATTCAAGTCTTTATTATTTTTATATAACGATAAATAAATAAATAAATACTTATTATGGATATAATAATAATAAACGTTAATTATTAAATAAACAGTGTAGGCAGAAGAATATCAAAAGTAAGTAAATATTCCTGATGGAATTTCAGATTGGTTGTTTTTTCAACTAGTTATAAAAATGTTTTAAGAATTTTTTTGCATTTTTTTTTTGTTTTTAAATCTAATCTATGATTTAAATGAAAAATACATAAAAAACTAAAATTTTCCTATAAAATTAATTATTTCGATTGTAGCGATCTCTATGCAAAAGTTCTCATATATATGATATTTCTAAATTGACGGCAATAGGCTAGATGAGTCAGATAAAAACAAGTTATTTCTGTGTGAAAACAAAAAATATGTCATTCTTGTGTAATATAATATGTGTATATGTTATCATTTTAGATATGGCATCATTTTCAATAAATCCATCAACCTCATCAGATAACAATAAGTTAGATCAATTATCAGAAACTTCTAATGAAAGTGGAAAAGATTTGCCAACATCTTCTTCAAATATTGAAGAAATAATAGACGAGCAAGATGTTAAGGTCGTCACACGTCGTCCTATAGGTATCTATTATTGACTTGATTCAAATTTTTGCTAAATTTATCTAACACATTAATTTATTTTATATTTTGCTTGAAATAATCTTTTTTTATTATAATAATTAGAACAAAGTAACGAAATTCCTTCTTATATGATTGAAAAAAAATATTGTACACCTTTAAAAGCTTCTTGTATGATCTAGTTTGATTTTTCATGTATAACAATTTGATCTATGTTTGTTTGTTTCTCTTAGGTATTAGCAGTACTATTGTAACGGAACAATCATTAGTTAGAGAAAAAAGAAGTGCTGCACTTTTTGCACGACCATTTGAAGAAGTGCTAGTCGGACAACCAAATACAGATGTACCAGTTGGAACATATCCAAAACCAAATGATAATAAATCTTTATTTATGAAAAAACCTTCGTAGAAGATTTATTGATAGAAGAAACAATATTAATTTTATTGTTTGTTTATAATAAATGATCGAGAATAAATATGTATGAAGTCATATGATTAATTGCAAATAAATTTTGATGTTCAAAAAAATTAATTGTATTTCGATGAGAAAAATTGTTCTAATTGTCTTATAATATCGAATATTAAATAAAATTATCTAGAGAATGTTTTTCTTTATGTCATTATCAATAAATTTATTCAATTATCGAATTATTTTTTATTATATATTTTTTTTAGCTTATTAGATATTTTCATGTATCTAAACTTTTTATATTTGAGTAACGGATTCATTTGTTACAAGCAGAAAGTATTACAATGAATAAACCATTTAGTTTATAGTATGAATGATAAAATAAAATGTATTATGGCTCCAATAACTAAATTAATATGCTAAAAAAACATACATTGATATTAGCATAGTATTGATCAATGGTGCAGAAAACTAGCGACAGACACGAATATTTTTTTTATTTATTACGGAAAAAGTACTCATTAAAAGCGTCAAAGAATATTTTCAAAATCTGCTATATATCTAAATCTTTTGATATTTTATCAATAAGAAATATTCGTAGTTTATGAAAATAGAAGAACTATTTCATTTCGTGTCATAGTCATATTTGCATAGAACTTCTTATTTAGAGAATGTCAACTACGGTGTGAGTCAATTGAATCTTTCTTCCCAATCTGTTTTTATTGCTCTAAGAAGACTATTGCAGGTGGGTTTTTTCGATTATCATCGCAAAGCGAGAAAGTTCAGATTTTACTGCATCGAATGACATATTACTCATAAATAACAAATGAAGTTAAGACAACAAAAAAATATATCAGAAAAAAAGAGACAATATTATTTTTACTATAATGTAAAGTAAGTGGAAATAATGTTTTTGTTTTATTTTCGTATATATGAATACGTAATAACATCAATCATTTGTATAAGTACTGAAAAGCTCCTGTTTATCAGCCTTTGTATCTAATTAAATAATCAGACAATAATTGAAGTTATAGGTGTTCGTACTTACAAACATAAAGGACAAACAAAAATACAGTTTCTTCTTCATATACATTATAGCAAAAAAAAATCTAATCTCTATTTTTTTCTGATGTATTTTATGTTACCTAAACTTTATTCGTTATTTTTAGTTAATATGTCATAGAGTGAAGTGAAATTTGTACTTTCCGCTTATAATTTGATTATCGAAAAACAAAGCTATCTGCAATAATCTCAAGCAAGAATAACAGTCCAATGAAAACTCAATTAAGCTGCACTGTATATAAAAAAAATTACTATTAAATATTCTGCATACATGTTTATAAAATCTTAATCATATATATTAATATTGAATAAAAAATATTCTAATACAATATTTTTCAAGGTTATATATGTATATAGAAATTTTGTTTTGCTACTTGTCACTTTGATATCCATCACGCCTACATTTACTAGCTTATGCGGTATATTTGCAGATCCAACCAAAACATATATGTAGCTATTCTTGTTTTTTCATAATAAATGGGTTATAGAGTGGTTGTTTAATATCTCATTATAGATACTGCGGTGGAAAAAGAAAAGGGACAAAAATATTCATATTCTCTCGAACAATCCCGAAGCTTCGTAGATCAATTACCACCCACCACATATTCTGTATATATATATATATATATATCGTTGATAACACATATTGACATACAATTCTTCCATTTACTTTATATCAAGTGAAAAATGTCGCATTTTCCTATAACACATTATCGATTATTCAATGATCCTTATGATCGATTCTTTGGTGATCAATTACAGTTTTTTGATCCATGGCGTGATTTTGATACATTTCCGACGGCTTTTTCAACTAAACCAAGTTCGTTTCGATGGATTAATGAACCACGTCACGTAACTCGTTCATCATCATCATCGTCATCATCATATCATTCAACATCGAGCAATACAAACAGTGGCAATACAATTATTCCTCTGACAACTTCAATAACACCAGCACTTTCAGAAAAATTTCGTGTACAACTTAATGTTGCTGGATTTAATCCAGAAACTATCAAAACAAGAGTTGAAGGTCGAAAAATCATTGTCGAAGCTAAACAAGAAGATCGTATTGGTGAGAGTGATTATAATATTCGTGAAATTCGAAAAACATATGATCTTCCTGAACATTCTGGCTAGTTTAAAAAAAATCATTTTTAATATATAATTTTAATGCTTTATGATTTACTTTATATAGATACATTTAATTTGGCTTCGTATGTTACACCGAATAATATGCTTGTTGTTGAATTACCTGTGAATAATCCACGTATTGAACGTCGTCTATCACAGGTACAAGCAGAATCAAGTGCTCTTGCTCAATTTGGTCAATTTCGTGATCCTATTTTTGATTATCATGGTTTTGTTGGATCAGCTGATTTTCATCCACGTATTATTGATACAATTAGTGGACAAAAACAATTAAAAATGAATGTTGCAGTTAAAAATTATCGACCTGAACAAATTAAAGTTTCAGTTAAAAATGATGAACTTATTGTACAAGCTGAACATGCTTATAGCGATAATAATCGTTCTGAACGATCATTTTTAACGAAATCTATAACATTACCACCAGGTACACAAATTGAACAACTTCGATCATTTTTAAGTGGAGATGGACAATTAGAAATTGAAGCACCATTTATTGAACCTAATAAACAACACTCAATTGAAGTTCAACGTCAATTCTAGACAATATTATATCTACAATACATAAATAACTCCTTTTTTTTAATCTTCTTATATACTTTTATTAATTTAAGCATCAAATGAATAAAATTCGATATATTTCAAAGAAAAAAATACTTGAATAATAATGATAATAATACAGTAATAAACAGTTAACCCCTTTAGGACGGGCTACTGTTGAAGTCAATGGAAAGAGTTTTTCAAAGTCTGCAAGAAGAAAAGTGGTGGGCGACTGTGCAAAACAAATGATAGCGTTAAACGACATCGAAGCTGATAGGTTATGACCTACTAATACTATGTCAATCATAATAATATCTTAGGAAACATGCTTAAGTTAGTTACGAGCAGACTTGAAACCGTTACCTACATAGAAACCTCCAATTCCCAAGAAGTTAATCATAATACTGCTATTTAAAATACTCAGATCGAACGATATGATACGTATATATGGCTGTTTGACAGTTAATTTACGATAAGCAAACGAGTGGTATACTGACAGAATAATTCTGTGGTCGTATGATAATGAGATTACAGCTGTATATCAGCTGTATTCGATAAAAATATCTCGTCGTATACAGTGCGGTATATTACTGTCCACAGAATTACAAGAAAATGCGGTTCGTTTATGTGTAGTGCTGGGCTGTAACCGACAGTAGATGACAAAGTTATGATGAAAATACAAATGGGCGTATCAATCAACATCAGTAATTTTATTAATAGAATTTTTCGACTTTTTTTTATCATCAGTTTCAAAGCATCCCTTGTGACCTTAACTTAATTATTTCTTATGAAATAAACTATAACAATCCGAAATAGATATTAATTGAAAGACATTCATTTTGTATCTTAGCCAGGATGATGCCCATTTATATATGTTTATGTATCTTTTTATGTTATACATAAAAAAGTCGATTTATTGTTGTTATAGTTTGATTGTCTAGCTGATATTGTTTGTTGTTCGGTAATAAATATCTCAGTTAAGGTCTCAAGTGATATCTTTAAAGCTGATGACGACCGAGCTAACTTAGAAATAAGATCAATAATCTCTATTTGTAAAATTATATTAAATTTCATTTTTTATTATTAATTGTTTATAGCGTATTTTTGTTTTCAACGATACAAGAATGTATAATTGATTAAATTTTAAGAAAATATATATTTCTCAATAGAAAACAACTCATGCAATCACTCTAAATATATTCACTATAGTATAAATGATATTAAGTACAATTTCTCTGGGTTCTTGTTTTTATTTTTCATCTTTAAATCTTGTTTTTTTCTGGATCAAAAGAAAAAGAGATTAACTATTAAGCATCTTGCGCTTCACCTTTTTCTTATAAACGTTTTACTATTTTCACAGGTTTGTGACATTTGAATAGCACTGAGGTCTGTGTACTGAAAAAGCCAATTCATGAGACAAAAGACATAAAAGAAAACGAAAACATTCGATTGACATTACAACTCAGCTCAGTCTGATCACATTTCGTCTATATATATAAAGTTTGCGGATTTAATTGAACTAGATATTTCAATATATACAATTGCAACTAACTAACTTATAATAAAAATAATGTCATTATTTCCATTTTATCGTTATCATTTTTTTGATGATCTATTCGATCCATTCTTTTTTCATCGACTTGATTTCTTCGATCCATGGTATGATATTGACATGTTTCCATCGTTTCGTCCCATTACACCATCATTTCGACGGGTAAAAGAACAAGAACGAATCACATATAAATCCAGCAAAATATCAAATAATACTAAAAGTCTTAAACAAACACCACGAACTCCTCAATCAGAAAAATTTATTGTTCAACTTAATATTACTGGATTCAATCCAGAAGGAATTACAACGAAAGTTGAAGGTCAAAAAGTAATTGTCGAAGCTAGACAAGAAGATCGTCAATCAAATAGTGATTATCACATTCGAGAACTTCGAAAATCATATGAACTTCCTGAATATGCTGGTAAGTTACAAATCATATCGCACCAAATATTTTTACTTATCGTTTGGTTTCGATAGATGCAACTCATTTGAATTCCTATTTAACACAAAATAACATGCTGATTATTGAAGTACCAATTAAAAATCCTGAAGTTGAACGTCGACTTGAACAAACAAGAAATGATAATCGAAGTTTAGCACAATTTGGTGAAAATCGTGATCCATTTTTTGATTATGCAGGATTTTTAGGTGGTTCGGATTTTCAACCACGTATTGTTGATAAAGGAAATAATCAAAAACA